CCCCGCGCCGCGGCCAATGGGCGCCGAGGCGACCGGCCCCGCAGGGCCGCAGCGCCCACATGCAAATAAATAAATATATATAATATATATGTATATATCTATGCACACACATAAATGCGCACGAATTCCCTGTGCACTCTGACTTCCCTCTTTCACTAGGCGAGATGAGGGTAAGAGGGGCAGCCTCTCACACAGTGTAAGTTTTTGCTTCTTCTTCCTTTCAGAGCTCTGCCGTTTTCTGTCATGCCCCTGTTTCCCGAGTTTTACAAGTGTGTACTATTCACGTGCAGGTGACACGGGGAAGTTTGATACTAAGTTAAAGCCTCATTTAAAAACAAATACTGAAGTATATTCTTTGGTTATCACCACAGACCCTGCATTGCAGCACCTCGCTCCATAGCAAAAGCCTAAGCCCTTCACTTCTCAGAAACCTTTCCATTATCTCCTATACATCCAGGAATTAAAAACCTGCAATAGGGAATCAAACAACTGGAACCACAGGTAATATAAAATAATTTATTCACATAATTTACATATAGAATATGACTGCCTTCTTTGAAACAGAAAGCCTATAGGTGATTATACATGCGCCAGACAACTCCAAGCAAAGCAGTCCTGTGCCGTATCTTCGCAATAGAAAACAAACTAATAAGCACTGAGATTTCACAATTCCTCCATTGTTGACCATTATACAGTTTCCATGTCCAAAGAGAACACAAGTTTTCATCTCTATTCCTTTTTTATGTTTTTAAAACAAGAATATCCTATAACAAAGTGCATGTGGTTTGCTGCTGGGGAGGGGGGAGSAGGAAGAGTAGCCCCAGTCACCAGGACAGATAAGGCACCTTAAATCTTAGTTATGAAATAATGCTTATTTTTGCCTCAATTTCAGTGCAAGCTAAAATGTATGCAACTAAATGCAGAATGGCTATCAACCTAGAAGGTACTTAGGGCATGTTACTTTATAGCCTTCTCCCCGCCTTAAATTTTCACACTACGTCAGTGCAAGTGACTTCAACATGCCACATGTAACAGGAAAAAAACACGTACATGAAATGGTATCTACAAGATATACAATACAAGAAGCTTTATGTATACTTTAATCTATTTCTTAATGTTTACAGTAAGACGATATTTAGATAAACATTTCAAGTTAATTGGAATAGGCAGAACACAAGATACTGTCTGAACAGAAAATGCTTGGATTTTTTTTTTTTTTTGACAGTATGCTTTTCAAGTAAATTGCTTTATTCTGGGATTTTTAGTCCCTTTTTCATTATCTCAATAAATACTGCTGCTTGTGACATTTGGCCGCCAGAGACCTCCTAATGTACTAATTTATAGTAGCTTTTCTGTGCATTTTCCCCTTACTGACCACACCTTGCCAATAATAGGCAGGCATTCTCGAGCTTCAAATATTTCAATATCAGCTAAATACTTACACGGAAACATTTGCTATTAAGATCATTTTCCAGTCTGACAATGAGGATGGATTTCTGGAGAGCATTAACAATACAACCTAAACATCAGTTTCTTTCATATCACATTACCTTTTTTTACCTTCCTTTTTTACCTTTTTTTTTTTTTTTTTTTTTTTTTTTTTTTTTTTTTTTTTTTTTTTTTTTTTTTTTTTTTCCCCCCCCCCCTGGTCAAATATACCTGCTGGTATTAAACAACAGGAAAAAAAATGGACTTCTTAAATCTATATACTTATTTCAGGCAATAAAGGGTTTAAAAATGTATTTTCAATTTTTCAATGGCCACCTGACTTTTCAACTTGCATGGACTTTCATTTTATCAAGGGAATCTTCTTACTATGCAAGTGAAAAATTAGACTGAAGTATAATGCTACAGCAGAATTTTATATGAAGTGACAGTACAGGTCAGATATACAGAAGACTAGTCAAATTTAACTGCTTCAAAGCAGTAAATCTTTGTATCCTCATTTTGTAGAAGAGCATTAACCACAGCTCTGTTTGTGCTACTTCACACAAAAGGAACTTTTTGGGAGTCAGTGGAGACCTATGTACCTACATGTAATACCAAGGAATAGAAATGGCATTTAGTCCCTTGTTTTCAGTGTACCTAATTTAGAAGGACATTAGCATTTAGAYTGGGAAATGTTAATCTCTTCCTCCCCCTCTTAACAGGATAGTTGGAAAGATTAACTTAGCACAGCATATTTTAATAAATTAAATATGTATTTTCCACGTTTCCCTCTACACACTTTTAAGGAGTTTGAACCATTAGGCTTCTCAAGTTAGGCGCTTTCCATTTATGTGAGACTTCTTTATTACAAAAATACATAATTAGGAGCTGCCAATAGAAACTGGTGGCAATGCTGAACACAACTATGTATTTACTAGACCATACTTGCAGAATTTCCTTCTTGATCTACAGAGATTATATCTAAAAAGTCCATTTCTCCTTTGACAAGGTACTTTACAAAGAGAGGCGGAGAACTTTTACAACCAGTATCACAAGTTTTAGCATTACAATTCAAAAGGAAACTGTCTCAAAAATAAGCATTTCTTCATTGCACTTTTCTGGAAGAGAATCATGCACCCACTAGCAGCATCTGAACAAGTCAAACCTAAGCCAGCTGCTCTGGTCCATCGACATCAGTGTACTCATGTAGGTTATGTCAACATTTTAAAAACCTCCAGGTCCCTTTACAGAGAATTTTGTCATTACCAAAGCTTATAACAGCTTGGCTGATAAGTTTGACATTATGGTAGAACAAATAAGAACTTTTCTAAATATTGTTTTGSTCTTGCATTGCACTTTTGAATCCAGGATTTTACAAAGTCATTCTGCTATTCTGAATCATCCACTTCCATAAAGATGTCACTGAAAAAATACTCAGAGATCCTGGTTGGTGCTTCTTCCTTTTCTTGATCTTTAGCTTGAAGGGATGGCTTCTCAGGTTGCTTGTTAACAGGAATCTGCAAGAAAAAGAAAAGGCTGCTCTTAACAGTCTTACTTGTTTGGGTCTCTGTACTGTATCTTTATATACTGTTAAATAATAAAAATTGTGTTTTTATATACTTTTATACTGAGCAATATAAAAGTATATTATGTTTACTCTTTGCATCTCGGGATGGCAGGACATTCACAAGTGCACATGTACCTCAACTGCAGCATCAGCAGCAGGGTTCTCACACTCCACAGACGACGATGTGCTCGTAGAGGGAAGGGAACAGGATTCCCTACCAGCCTCACTGGGCACAGTAGGTTTTTTTAGACTTCGCTTTGGGGTCACTATCCGAGGCTTCTGGACCTTCCCTCTGTTCCCTTTGGGATCCTCTGCAGATTCGGAGCTACTTTTTTTGCATATTAAAGATAAAAACCCCAATGGTTTTCGACCACCCCTGTTCAAAATAGGTAACAGTCAGAATGACATAAGGACATCCATCAAGCAAGGTCTAAATAGTGTTATAGGAGATCAATTCATTACACAACCAGCAGCAAACATCTCAAATGCAAAATAAATAAATAAATAAGACTACAAAAAGAAGTCACACTTGAGAGGCCAGTGCAGACAGCATCAAGGAGTTTATAACCTGGTAAGTAACCTGAAGCAAGGATTCTCCATGTTCACGGCATTATGACAAACAATGCCAGGTGTAAATAATACAATTCTCATTATTCTTCTGTGTCTAACAAAAAGGAGGAAAGACCAGGACAGCAGAGGAGCACCACAATCAAAACCAGTGAACACAACGGCCACAGAGAACAAGAACTCAAACACGAGAGGGAAGGGAGAAAGGTAAATTAAAAAAATACATCCAAATAGATACATAGAAAGATAAAAGAGAGATTCTCTTGACTGTCAAGATTCTAACTCCTCTGGGGAAATGATACATCTTAAGTTAGTCCTAAAAATCCAGTATACTGAGTACTATACCAATAACAAATCTTACTGACAGAAAAACAAAAATCAAAACAAGTGGACAGGTGTATATATATATTATAGTATTAAACTGAGCTAAAGGGAACAGTTATCCTAAATCTGCATCATAGCCAACGAATGTCTGCCTCACAAGAGGCATCTGTCAGTGTCTAAATAAACATACCATAGATCAGCAGTGTCCCCTGCTCACTCTGTTCATTTTATGACTAAAATACTTCAAATTCCCAAGCAGAGAGTTTGATCCTTTCTAATTTGCTGAAGAGGACAGATATTATGTGTGGGTGGTGAACAAGTACATTATCCTTCTTGCAATACTAAGTGGAAACAAAGGACATCAAAAACCCAACATGGAAACAAGGTCTCTAACAGAAAAGGCTGGCAAACCCTTATTCCATGAATAGGTACCTGAGTAATGGAGRTTTTGAAGATGCAGCTGCGCTCCCAGGGTGTTCCAGTTGTGCGGATTCATGCACATCCACAGGTTTGCTTGGCCCACTTCCCTCTGCTTTTCTCTCAGAGGTTAGCCTGGATATCACTTCCTCTTCCCCTTTGGATGTTGAATTCCCAGGCGATGCTGCCCCYGAATTCTGCAAAGCCTCAGATTGGCTTCTTCCAACTGGCACTGATTCAGACTCGGACACAAACACAGACGTAAGGACCTTTACAGAAGCTCCTGCCTTTTCAGGAAGATTCTCTGTAAGAAGAGTAATTTAAGAATTTCAAACGTTTATCCCCAAGTAACAACACAGTGGTCTAAAAGGCAGGTTAAAATGGCTTACACCATTACACAAGAAAGGCAGAGTTTTGGTCCAAGTTTGGGGGGGGGGGGAGGGAACCATAAGCGAGGACTTCTTTTTTTTTTTTCTAAGAACATCTTAAGTGCAAATAATTAGAAAAAAATTCAACTGTGTATGTAGTATGCATTTATAGGCCTTATAATCTATTTCTACAAGTTGGAATTCACCTACCAGCAGCTCTCCTTGGAGAATTTGTGGATTTTGTTGAATAATCCTGTATCAAAAAAAAAAAAAAATTATTCCTCTTGCCATTCAAGAGACAGTGAGAGCTGACCAAACCTCACAACTGTGCACTGAATTGAACATGAGCGATATAGAAGAAAATATTTTGGTAGARTATTAGGCATCACTTAAGTCATTTYCTGAGCAGATTATCAAGGTGTTTTCATGACAGATGACTCAAGACAGGAAGATGAGAGTTTAGAAAAGGAAGAGGAACGTTTTATCCACTCCTTTCTAGAGAAATACTCTAAATTATATGGAGGAATTATTGCCCATTCCCTCACAAGAMACACTACTCAGTCTACTTTCAAAAAATAAATGGCCATCAATCCTGTGAGACTGATCACACTCAAAAAGCACAGAGGGAAGCTGGAAACAGGCTGGCCAGTTGTATTTGCAGCTTCTTTTAGACTAACAACTGCTACAAGGTAGTAGCACATCTAACAACTTCTTCCTGTAAGAGATCCCACTGGGCACCAGAGCATCACTCAGCGAATCTAGACTGTCTGCCCAGCTCCCCTTCCTGCAACGTCCCTGTCAGAAGCCTGTGTTAAAGGAACCAGTCAAATGGACATAACACCAGCACGTCAATTGGGAAGCCTATTAAAAAAATATTAAAACAAACAAAAAAACCCCAAACTCATGAGCCTACAATTCTGGCCCCCACAAAACCAACAGTCCCCAAACTGGCATGTTTCTAAATAAGCAATCTGTAGTCTTTCAAAGCAGRCATTGCATTTTTAAGCAAGGAACAAAGTACTCCATCGCATGCTGTGCATCCATTAAAAATATATATATATATATATATCCCCAAACATCTTCTCACCTTGAAAGTACTTTCCAAGTCATCTTCTGCTGAAGTAGACAGACTTTTCTTAGCAGGTGGAAAATCATCCTCTTCAGGCTCAGCAGCTGACCTTTTTTGAGCTGTMTGCACCAGATTCGGTATAGGCTCTCTTAGAGCACTCTGTAGTTGTTTGGTTTCCATTTTGCTATCTAAAGATGCAGCAAGTTCATCAACTGCAGTTGTCAAAGATTCAATGCTGTTTATATAAAAAGACACAATTGTGATGGTAAAATAAACCGAAGTTCACTTTGTAAAAGATTTCTGTTTGATAATTAGGGACAGACTTTCGATGATATTCTTTCTTAATGCCAATGCTTAAATTTAAACGCACCATTTACCATCCAGAAGCATTTTGTTGATATCTTAAGTTAGAGAATTGATTTTCTAAAACTCATACTCAGATTTAATTACTTTGGCCAACTAAAACCTATTACGTGAGSTAACTAAAACACTATAGCATTAAACCAGCAAGGTCTTTCTCAAATCTGACTTGAATTTGCTTTTTAAGTCTCTGCTTTTTAAGTCTACTACAATAATTATTTCTTTTCCTTGCATTTCTTCTTCTAAGAAGCTTTAATGTGCGTAAGTTTTTACACAATAAAGTTTCTTAAAGAAGAAACGAAGTTTCACAAAAGATGCTTCATCTGTGATGCTCAAGACTAAATCAAATTACCTCTGCACTCCAGTCGTGTTTGTTCCACCTGCACTGCCTGGGCTGATAAGTATCGGGGCTGGCAGCAACGGTTCTGAAGTCTGTTCCAGCAGAGCAGAGGCATCATCGTATTCCCTTGAGTGAGCTGGGATTTCCACCAATGTTAAAATGAATGTCTGTTCCTCCTCTGGACATCTACTGTGATTATCATTCATAACTGTAATTTTTCAGGAAAATAAATAAAAAAGTCTATCATTCAAGCTGTAAAATGACACTTTAATTTAAAAAAAAAAAAAAAAAAAAGCCCACACCACCTACATTAACTAGGGATTAGGTGCTCATTTTTCAAGGGAAATGAGGCCTGGGAACATCCTGAAGACAACCTGCTCCCTTTCTTCTTCAAAGGGATAGCAATCACTATCCACTGTGACCTCGTGCAGTAGAATCCCAATTTTTTTTTTTTTTTTTTAAATGAGTGTTCTAGCATTCAAGAATAACTTGCAGTTTAATTAGGATTGTGTATCAGTGGTTAAATGGCCCACTCATGAATACTGTCAGGGGTTAGGAGTCACTTCTTCAAAGCAGTAGAGGAGTCTGCTGTTTAGTCAATAATCCCAAAGTCCTTTCCCCTCTTATTGTTGATTTGCAGAAGAGAACCAACAGAAAAGCACAGTCATTAATTTAATAAATGAGTAGTATACATAATTTACCAACAAGTGGACATTAACTGCTAACTGCCAATCACCATCTGTTAGAATTAAATGATGAAGAAATTATTTTTAAAGTTCTTTTCAAAGGATAAAAAGCGACAGTGCTGCTCAGTCAACTAAAACAGCTCTGCGCTTTTGCTGATTTAAAGCTGTTATGTCATTCTCAACTCACTCTGGTTCTTAAATCATCTTTAGATAAAGAAGCTCTTTCCTAAGACCCTTGCAACAACTGAGCGTAACAGGCAACTAGAAATACTAGCCACGCCTTTTGTACATCCTCAGAAGCTGCGCATTTGGCAGGAAGATTGCATTTTTTTTAATCAAGTATTCTGGGCTTCTGACAGAATTATTTTCCCACCTCTTAGTCAAGTACTGATTCCAAGACAACTCCCATTTTAATCTGTTTTACATAACAGCTATCATTCTTGGTACCTTTCATCACTTCCAGTTAACAAGAAACTGCTTCCCTGACTTGTTACACCTGAAAAGGAAGGTTTGGTTTCTTTCTCCCATTTTTCTCTCCAGCTTCTCCTTTTTTCCTGCTCCATATTGCCACAGTCCTACCTTCCTACTCACACAGCTGCAGTAACTGGCACTCTCTGGACACTTCCATTAGGCACTATAGCTCACCAAGCCTGTGGAAAACTACATGGGTTCATTCCCTCACTCTGCCACTTCACCTTCAATTTTTGACAAAATTGCTAGACCTCTGTGAGCCTCTAGCCCACAGGTGCTGAAGCCAGCAAAGGGTAATGGCAGGAGCTCACAGTAGGGAGAAAAGATGGACATGTTTCTTTCCACTGATCTTTGAACTTGAGGTACTATTCAAAAAAYCTACCGAGTCTGGTTTGTGGCAATGAAAGAGGCTAGTGATGAGAATCACCATGGCATCTCATCATGGATCATTATTTTTGTTAGTGAGGTAGACTATTTTAAATCATATCAATGAAAACATTTTATTTTTTTGATTCACCTTTGTATGATTACAAAATACACACATCAGAATTTGTTAACTTGGAATATTACCACGATATACCTGCAGTCTCTTCTGTGCTGCTTGTACATTGTTGTTGAAAATCCTCAATACATCCCGTGTTCTAGAAATAAAACATTTGCAATAAAACAWATTAGAAGATCTGAGAAGAAACTCCAGAAAACAGGAAAAAAACAAAGTGTKACAAGTTTTGAAAGGCCAGAATTATCTAGTAACATCATCATAATTACAATTGGTCAACTTTTACTTCTTGCTATTCTAAGTTGAAGGATACCAGCCTGACACGAAACATTTGGGCAGTACTTGTATATTATTTATATGCAGTTCATTGTCTATATTGATGGTTTGTTAAAAAAAAAAGAAAAAAATAAAAAGCTTCCTGGAGCACAGCTGTGTCAGAGCTGACTCACCCAATAAATTGCTCAGTGGTGCTAAGAACACAAATTCCCCCAACTAATACAAAAAATACTGAGTGCCAGAAGGAAAACTCCAAGCTCTGCTTGGATCAATCCCATGCCTTTCATGGCACATCACATTGCTTAAAAAATAAATAAGTAAATAAATAAATTGAAAGTTGCCTCCTTTCACATTGACTGCCAGTCCTGCTTCCAGCTAATTCATCATTCTTGTACCTTGTTTTAAATTGAGATTAGCCTTGACACATCAGCAGATTGCACTGGGGAAAAAACAAGCTACCACCCATCACTGTGCAGACACTGACCTCAGGCAACACCAGAAAACCTGCAGGAAAATTAACCTATTTCTCATGAAAAGAGAGGATATTTCTCATCCATACTAGTGCAGGGATACACAAACCACTGCAAAGCAAGGGACAGAAATGGAAATACAGGTACCATCGTAGACAAACGAGATATATTAAAGTTCCTAGGTTTGAAATAAGTAAGAGCACAGTAAGAATAGAAGAGAAATAAACAGTTATGGGTAAAAGGGTTAAAAATCTTAAGATTCTTGGATACCAAAAATGCCATTTTCAGACTAGAATACATTCAACAGCTATTCCTTTTTTTTTATTGTGTATCACTTTTTATTGTGCATCACTTTTTTTTTTTTTACTGTGTATTGTGTATATGTATCACTTATAGCTCTGTAACACTATAAATCAAGGCTTAAGACGACAGAGTTCACCTCAATGATTAAGATGAACTCTGCCTAAACAAAAACTAGAACTTTCATTCACCAGCTGAAGCACCAGGTTTATCAAATGGCTGAGTGAACAAATTTGCACTGATAACCTCTTCTTTTCAGTTCTTTACCTGAGTCAAATTGATTGTATACAGACTGTGCTCAGCAGTGGTAGGATTGTGCTCAGGAAGTCCATCTGCAGAACTTTGATTTGGATAAAGTTCTTGTCCTACTTCCAAAGCCTTTGGTTTTGATGATGCAGTTAGAGCCTGTAGTTCCCCTGACATTCCACAAGTGTTCCCCATCTCTTTTTCTGTTCTGAAAGGTAAAAAAGTTACTATGAAACTGAGTGTATCATCTGGGGACATGGAATAAATGCTGTATAAGTATTATTTAATATTAAGCTTACATAGTCTTAYGAAATTAGGTTTTCAAGAGGTGCTCAGTTTCTCTGTGACTACACTCTTAATATTTCCTTTCAGATGCAGTTTTACCAGAGACAATCATGTAACAAGGTGATTACTAAGAATGAAATAGCAAACATGAGCTAATGTTTTACCTCTAAAAGCTGTATGACAACATGTAAGAAAGTTTAAACTAGTAAAAAGTCTTTACTGTAAAGCTGTATGCATTAAAATACCMAGCATTGCTGTAAGCATAGTTTCCACCAAAGCCCTTTTCCACTTCACCACATGTACTTCAGCTGCATATTTTAAGAAACATTAAGAATACATTCAATGTAAATTGATCTTTTTTTTTCATACCTCTCTGTTATGTCTCCTTGCTTGACAAGTTGTGTACCTTCAGTTGCAAAACCATGAAGATCCAAAGTATCACCTGCAGCTGGTCTGATCTGTTCTAGTTCCATCTTCTGCATTTCTGCAGGATCCCTCAGAATTGTGGCCTCTAAAGATTTAAAAACAAATATATATATGTTACACACACACACACACACACGTACATTTTAAATGTTATTTACATATACACAAAAATAACACATTTATAATGTGTATATATAATATATATATATATAATATATATATGTATAAAAAAGGGAGATATATGTGGAAGAGAAAGACCTTCTTTCTTAATGAAAGACGAAAAGTATACTGTATTATACTATTTCTGCCTCGGCCRTTTAAGTCACTTCAGGCAAGCTACTTTCTAAGTAATTTAAGATCTGCACAGAAAGGCTCTATGCAAGTTTCATTTAATTTTATACCAAAAGGCATATTTATGTATAAAGTTCTACCACAAATGCTTTTCCAACTGCGATCCATCATCTGTGAACATGAATAGAAAGTGGAGATCAATTTTCATTTAGTTTTATCTCATAAATAAATGTGAATTTATCTTGAGAAAGCACTTTTAAAACCTTAGGGTAAGAGATGGTCTTACCACCGTGAACTTGCTCTAGTTCTTCCACAAGTACATTTATATTAACAGGATTCTGAATAACGTTCTCATTTGACCTCAATACTCCAAAGTCTGGCTCAGGCAGCAGGAGTCTATTGCTTTCTGGACTTATACTGCTCACCACAGGCAGAGAGCTATCACTGCAGGTAAAAAGGAGAATATCGTCAATATAACTCTTGATTCTGACAGCAGTCTGAAGAAATCAGTAATTTCAGCAAACATCGCTACACAGACAGCAGATAGGAGGTGTGGGACAGAGGTTAACCAGAAATTCTGGTTAATAATATAATGAAAAAGTCACAAAACTCAAAGCARAGTATCTTGAATCATATTTTTTGCAGAGAAGTAGAATGTAGTACTTTGTTCAAGCAGTGGCCCTGTTATTTCKAAAAAGGTGTTCCAGCATGCTCTTTTAAATTTTGCTGATATGTTAATAGCAAAATTAGAAGGGGAATAAATACATAAATAAATAAAATAGATAGAAACGCAAACAGTTCCTTGACATTTGTGTGCTCTAATCAGAGCCCACAGCGAGATTTRAGAAGTTTGCCTTGGCCTGATTAGTTGTTTAACACTTGCAGAAAATGGGCCTAGTACCCTAACAGTAATCCATACGAACCAAGTTCTAGCACTCCCTTCCCTGCCAAATTGCCCAAATGACATGTCAACATCTCATAAAACTGGAAAAGAAAATTTAAGAGGGCTTTTCCAGACTACAGAGCAATTTAAGMAACTTTCACTACAGCAAGACACCTAAAATCCAAGAAACATGCCAGCAAGAACCCACTAAAGGTAAGCAGTGTCAGAGGATCTCCCTCTCCAAAGTAATTAAGGTAGAAATTTAACCTGGTCTCTGTAGCATTTTTCTCAAAATACTCTTTGCCAGTTGTTCCTGTGCCAGCACTCTGGTGCTCTAGGTTAATGTTGCTTCCATCCTCAGAAGGGAACAGGTCCATGTTGGAAGCAGGTGAAGAAGAAAGTAAATGCTGACAAGAAGCTACACTTTGTTGGGAGTAATCACAGTTCACAAGGTTACCAGTCATGTGTAAATCATTTTGAGCAGGTAACATCTGCGTCCGTTCTGGTTGGAACAATAAAGAAAGAAAAGCATAATTAAAAAGACTCAGGTTTTGTAACTGCATAAAGCTTTTCGTAGATGATCAATTTCAAAGCTCATTTGATAAAATCTGCTTTCTCCACAGATGCAAACCCAAGCTAAATACAGTCTTAAGGTCACTGTTTTTGGTAGTAAGGAAGCAAAGATTAATAATCCCTCATGAAAACAAATTCTATATTCTAACCAGAACAGCCAGTCAAAACCTAGACTAAAACCCAGAAAACTAGTAAATTCCATTTACAGTTAACTAGGTGGGAAAAACAACAAACAAACTAAATATTTATCACTTTGAAGATCAAAAAGAAACAGTCACTGTTCCCTTCCTCTTAGGCAAACCCCTGGAGCACAAGGAAGGCTTTTTCCCATCAATTAGGTCATACCTTCAGTGTTTACTTTTAACTGGAATGTTGGATCACCCATTGCAAGTAAAGTCATGGCAGCTTCAGTGCTTCCATCATTAATTCCTACAAAGTTGTGCACATACAGGTTTAAAATCACAAGTTTGTATTACCCTAAATTCACTTACATCCAAARAGTATTTGACATCATCAGTACAGTGAAGTATATATATTTTTAAATTATTGCCTTTCGTGGATCAAGGTACTTGTAGACAAACAGCTATTCTCATCCAGTAAATCTAATTATTACAGAAACATTAAGCAACATCATTATTCCCACTCATGGAAAAGAAAAACAGTGTAATCAAAGTCTTCCAGAAGTCTTCCACTCTCAACACACTACCTTATCAGTTTAAGATATTATAGTCAGAGACCACAGAAATGGCAATGATAAAGCTATGAATCTACCCATTCTTTGTACTGTTCACACATCAAGCGAATGCTTTAAACACTGGCAAAGTTTCCTCTTCTTCTCACACAACTAAACATGTGCAACTGATACAAGGGGCATGGCAAAGGCACATTTTGACCATGAGGAACAGCCCCTCAGTGCTTTGCCTACCAATAAGGAAGGAATGCTTCAAGCCTCCTCCAAAACATAAACACGACACAAACCTCATGAGCATGAATCTGTTAAAATATATGAACTTGTGAATTTCTATCAAGTATACCTACATATCGATTATAAGTTAATGAGCAAGGCATGCAAATGATTACTTCATATCTACCTTTGTCCTTCTCTGGATTTTCAGGAATGTTTGCTTCCTTAAACAGAAAATAAATAAATAAATAAATTTTATATAACATGACTTTGCTATTTTAATGCAATGCTTACTAGTATATCTGTCCCCCTTTATATCTATCCCCCTTTATATCTATGGAGGACAGTAAAGAGTCTGTTAAGCTATTGTGTTATAAGCAGGCATATTATACTGACACTGGCCATCTCTGAAGGCAGAAAGAGAGACATTCTTACAGCTGCTGAGGTGCTCACATTTTCCTCCCTCTGCACCACTGGCATGACAAACACGTGAGATAGACTTTCAACATCAGTAACCACTTGCACATCTGGGACATTTTCAGAAATTTCCAGCTGTAAAAATAATTTAATTAAAAATAAGTTATTTSAGTTCATCAGCCTCAAAAGAAAATCTGATCAATACAAGTTTTAGAGCCTGGATACCCTTACAGCACTTCCTATAGTACATACCATGTGATCTGAGAAGGAAGGAGTTGTGGAAAAGACTGTAACTGGAAGCAGACAACCAAAAGACCTTATTTCTATTTGCTTATTATTCTACCAAAATAATCTTTTTGGCTGATAGTCTTCATGCTGACTATTTTCCTCAAAAATGTTTTTTTTTCCCCCCCTTTTTCTACTTTTTAAGTCTTCAGGAAAAAAAGTTTAACCTTCCAAACGAAGTTTATCGAAATACACACACACACACACACACACACACACTGTAGTGCCTACATATTGGGTATGTATGCAATGAAATTTTATCTGTACATTGTGAAACTTTTTATATATGTTTGTGAATGCAGACATAGATATATATGAAAAGATATTTGTACACACACAGCATATAAATATTTTATCTATGGATGCAGAGGATTTTTTATATAAAGTTTTGCCTGTATTGTTTTCCTCTTCAATACTATTTTTCTATTGAGAACTTCAGTCACTTCACATTACAGAAACTCAAGGACTTAATTTGACAGAAAGGTTGCACTACTGCCAGTGATATCTTATGAAAAAGACTACTCAACTCAGCCAGTTTTTAAAAGATTGCATTTGTACAGGTACGTTGCACTGACCTGCTTAAGTCTGACAGATGAGTTTTCTGGTATCTAATCACATCCCTTACCCTGATGGCTCCTGTGTTAAACCAAGTAATTTGACCATCATCCCCACACTTAACATATTCCAAATCTTCAGGATGAAGGGAATCAGCAGAGCTCTCCCTGCAACAAATTTTCTTTCCGTTATTGTTCTAGAGTTTCCCTCCATGCTTTGGCTGAGCTTTCAATTCTCTTGCTCTTTTACCTAGAGCTAGTTGTTCTTTTTCCACTTGCACATAGTACATAATGCTATATAGAGCTGTAAGGCAGGTAGAGTTTCTTGACTGGGAAGAAGGGGGAGAAGATGGAAGAGAGAAGAGGGAGAACACACACTTCACCTTCACGCATGAAATTTCTCCCTCATTTCTAAAACTCAAATGTAAAGTTGAAGTGCTCCAGTTGTTCCACCTCTATCCGTGCCTCAAGCCAYGCAGTGAACACAGGAGCCTCTGCTCCACCTAAGCCCAGGATATTTAGCCAGGGAACACCCTGCAGGGCCTTACAGTTCATAGCATCGGCTAGACCTTAGATTAGTGGAGCATTTGGTTCAAATGCACCTGGAGATGCAATTCCAAGAACAGCATGTGTTTAAAAAAAAAAATCAAAACTGAAGTACACATGCACACTGCAGCAGCATCATACCTCCTCCACGGTCTCCTCTATCTGAACAGGAACAGGTTTGGGGGACCGAAGGCCTATAGGAACAAACACGGGAGCTTTGTTTACTTCTTCTGGGGCAAAACATTGACTTTCATCATCTGGCTCAAAGTCTTCAACCTCCTCCTCCTCATCCTCCTCCTCGTCTCGCAAAGCCCGGAGAGTCACCAAGGTTGTCTTTGGTTTTCTGTGCTCTTTATCGGATTTCTTTCTATGAGCAGATTGCAGCCTTTTGCCTTTAGTATTCTGTCTGACTTTTTGCCTTTGATTCCCCTTTTCAGGGCGATCAGGCTCACATTCAGASGCAGAAGAAGCAGCAGCTCTGAGCTCCACGTTGCATTTTGAGGCTATGCGCTTGGATGATCTTCTGGACTGCCTTCTGAAGCACAGAACAGAGCATGCTTAAAGACAATGAAGCATAAGATACTACAAAAAAAACAAAAGGAATACCAAAAAGCAATATAAACTCACTGAACAGAAAGGATCACTAATACTGGCAACGTGATCTAGTTATCTTCTAACAAAAGTTAGGAAAAAACGCATCCAAAAACTACTTAGTTAGAAATTATCACAATTATTTCACATATGTACAGAATGCTGATTGCACATGTGTATAAAACAGCAAGTGTTGAAAAGCTGTACAAACACTGTCATTTACAGGGTACAGAAATCTTTGATTTGAAAAGGCAGATTAATTTTCACCTGTGTGTACCTAGAATACGGGAGGTACAAGGAACGACATCCTGTATGTGCTATACACAGTTTTAGAACTATGGTTGAAAATTAAATGTAAAAAACAAGTGCAAATCAGTTGAGCTTAAAAGTCAGAATTAGGTGTTTTACCTTGACATTTTCTCCAGAGAAGTAGAAGGCTGAGAATCATCTTCTTGACTCTCACTCTCTGATGAAATCCCTGGAGACTGGAATTTACTTTCTTGCCTGATTCTTTTAGAAGATGTTTCCTCAGAGTCTGTAAAATGACATTTTCTTGAGGCCTCTGAGCAGGATGCAGCTTCCACTAAGGAACTAGAGTTTTGCTGAACAGATGGAACAATTATTACCAAACATACTTTAACTGGTTTTAGTGACAGATTTAAAGAACAACGTTTGTGGTTCTTTCCAAAGTCGTCGTCTTCTGCAGGAGTTGTAGTGTCATAATTTTGCTCAGCTACAATGTTTGCTTTGATAAAGCTCCTACAGAGCCGTTCTCACAAAACAACTGCTTGGGATGGAGACAGAACTTYCATTTGAACATACTACACAGCTCTGCTCAAAACACATCATTTTTGAAAATGCATCAGTAAGTGCAGTTCCATCAACTATGGGCAGTTGGAGAAACGATAYAGTAGCTAAAAATTTCTAGTGATTCATTTGGAAAATAAGGAACAACTTGATTCAGACACCATAACTAATGGCAGAAAGAAGCAYTCTGGACCAGCTCAGGTCTGCCAGGGAAGGTTAAAGAAGGAAGTCTGAACAGGCTTATCACGTGTACATCAATAACTACAAGTATAGCTGAGTATATATATATTTTACAAAGTATTTGACAGCTTCAATAATTAGACAGCTGCCTTCATTTTCCTTGTTCAACACACAGAATTAATTAATTTTTTTTTTTTTTTGTAACAAGGTTAGCATCTATTTATGCCGATGAAGACCTCTGGCCATGTGAATTTTAAAACTTAAAAAAAAAGTATATATTTATTCCGGGATTCTGAGTAGATTTACTCAGCATCATTTCCAGCTGAAGAAAGTGAAGTAAGAAAGAAAAACTTCAACCATTACCATTAAAATCCAAATACAGCGCTTCTGCATGAGCCCTAAGTTAAGCACAAGAYGTAAATTACAAACTGGCCCAAACTCAACATTTAGCACTTACCAATGGAGCATCTGTTTTTTCTGACATCAAACACTTTCCAGCATTTCTAATCTCAGTGTCATCCTCATTTCTGCTTCCACCTTCTCTGGAATGATCCCTCTTTCTAGCAGCAATCATTACGTTTGACTGTGGCTTCCAGAGAGGGTCCCTCGCTTGATGCAGTGGTTTTGTATCACTYGATCCACCTTTTTCTCCAGAACTTAATTTATCACAGGACCTATAAAACATTAAGATATTTAACATTAAGATATAGTGTTCAAGCACTATTACACAGACTGTAGAATMCTGGCTCACAAATTAGTACAATTAGTACAATTTAGTACATCCACCCAGGTATCGGCCCAGGTTTTCTGCATTTTTTTTTTTTTTAATTTATTTATCGAACTCCACTCACTAATGGAAGGAAAGGAGCAATACAAAGAGGAAATAATTTGCTTTTCCTCAGTAATGGATCTTTCAGTTTGCTTTTGGACAAGCATTGAAACAACAAAGTTGGCAACAGCTCAAAGTCTCAGCTATGTCACCACAGGCCCCCAAAACTAAACAGCCATAAAAGCATCTTCCTAATTCCAGKGCCCAAGGTTTTGTGAGAATGTGAGAATGCGTGAGAATGAAGCTCTCATATCTCTTAAAGCACGCTCATATCTGTAAGATCATCGATATCTTGGACTTTTATATTTGAGACTGAGGAAGTCCCTCTATGACAGAAGCCCAGAAGACTCAGTAACGTAAGGCAGACTCAGTAACGTAAGGCATTTTAACCTTTGCACAAAAACTCTGGGACATGACAGCAACACAGATCGTGATATCCCAAACAAAGGTTCAGAGACAGAAAGGAGCTAAAAGAGAATTTTAAAGTAAAATAATATGATCATAGTCTATATTAAAATTATGCAAAAAGAAGTYTATAACAAAGTCCATAACTGTAAAAGTGGATGGTACAATCTGCCTCATATTACACATTTATAAAAAGCACTTCCTGCATAAACTTTTCCTGATGGATAGGAAAAGTGAGAAGGCTGGGAATACATTAAAGACAACAAACTCGATGAGAATTGCTGTAGGTAGAGTAAGATAAAGTGAGTTTGTCCTTCTTTAGTGTCCACATCCATAGCCCACTGTTCCTTAGGAGTGTGTTAATAAAAAATGTGCAGAGCTTAACTCTGACTGCTTGCTCCTGCTGCAAAATATCCTCTTCAAAGGCAGGAAACTGTCTTGAAAAATTCTGTGATTCCATTAAAAATGCACTTAAAATTCTGTAAGGATGCCATCTAGTGACCTTCATGGCATGTACTGCTTACAGCTGATACAATTCAAAAAGCAAGTGCACAAGTGCTATACGAAAATAACTGGATAAATCCATAAAGGTTTGGTTTTGTCTTGTTGGTGGTGATTTTTTTTTTTTTTTTTAAAAAAGCTTGTTCTAATTTGTCAACAGGAAACTTTACCTCTCTTTGGTATCCTGAAGGCTTTCTACAGCCTCTCTAGATAGACTCTCTTTTTGTTCTCTCTTCTGAGAAACCAGCAGTGATTTTTCAGGGGAAGAGAGTATTTCTGAATTCTTACTCCTTGTATTTGTCTCCAGATTGTCATTCTTAGCCAAATTCCCCACAGATAACAGTACTTCCACGTCATCCTTAAATTTAGAGAAGATGACAACATTAGCACATAATATAACAATAAAACAAAGCACTGTAGATTAYAATCTAGATAATAATTTGAATCTTTCCTAGCTAACTTTCCTACTTTTCTAGTGGTTTTTGACACTATTTCCTTTTCCTTTAGAGATATTCCTTTGTGACCACCCACCAATGTGTGCAGACGAAACCCAGCACAACAGGAATACGTCAGGCATACAGCTATTATCATGTACACGACTGAAACACTTAAGAACAGGATGAGTCTTTAGTTTTAACAAGAACAAAATGTAGGTAGCTATCATTAACATAGAATTTAAAAAGACCTCATATTAGGGTGCAAGCATTCCTGCAAAAATATAATTCTCATCAGTAAAAAATTGTCTATGCATTGAAAACAGCTGATTTAGATACTTCMTAAAAGCAGCTGGTGCAGAGATTAGTATTAGTAAGCACAGAAAGAGAGATCTGGAAAGACTTCTCACTTTTGAGGGAAAAGGTTCCTTGGATTCTTTTGCCACAGGGAGATTCTCTCCTTTTTCTGCTTCTTCAACTGGAGCAGCAGGTTTTTGAGCCACTGGAGATTCTTTTTTGCTATTTGCTCTTCCTAGGTTTGGTCTAGCCCTCTGAAATCGATTCCTTAAGAGTTGTGCTGGTTTGGGGGCAACCAACTTGCCTTCTGAGGAAGTGGCTTTTTCAGCACTAGAACTTTAAAACAAAACAAAAGCCACTTGACTTTGAAGAAAACATTTCTGCATGCATTAAATTCTAAATCAATACCTATACAAGATGATTAGAAACTCTGATAAACTGTTATGTTTTGTATTAAAAAATAAATCAATAAAATAGATTTGGAACATATTTATTTCTGGATTGGGTGTTTATAGTCCAAATAAATTTTGACAGGAGAGAAAAAAAAAAAAAAATTAAAGAAAAAGTGTTGCTAGTCATACCAACATCAATGATTTTTGCATTCTGCARTTTTATATATGCTTAAAATCTTATTTTAACACAAGCAGTAGTAAAATAGAAGAGCACACTGGAATAATAAAAGACAGAACTCATTCACTTTGCAAATTTATGAGCATTCCAAGCACAATTACTGTATACAGAAATACAAACCCTGTAAAAGAAAAGCTAGGTCAGAAGATCTATGAGCTCAAACAGAGAAACACTATACCAGATAAATAATGACAAGTAGTTTGATTCAACTAAAACTGTACTCTGAAAACATGGCAAGAGGTTGCCAGGAGGCACTGAAACCCAAGCCTTAAAAGAAAGACAGGAAACAAGAAACAGAAGAAGTGACATACTGCATCTATACAGTATGTAAAAAAAATAAATAAACAAGATTTTGCAAGACTTTGACCTCACCTGCTTTGTTTACACAATGTGTCGCCAGAACTGTGGGGCACCTGAGGCTCCTCTGGCTTTCCCTGTTCTTYAGCATTCAGCCCATCAGCTTCACACACTGTAACTTCATTTTCACCCTTTAATTTGCAACAAAATATAAGCATTATGCCTTGCAGCACAGGAGAGAAAAAAACAAAAGAGAACCGAACAAATTTTAAACAAATTTGTTTTATTAAGAAAAAGAAAGCACAAATTGCAGTTTTCTGTGTTAATTTCCCAATGTAATAAATAAATAATCATGCTCTTTTATTGAGTCACYTACGTGAGCACATAACTCAAGTGAAAGGCACACTGGAACACCAGCTTTTTTCAGTCCTGGGCTGCCTAGCATTAGCCTCTTCAGTACTGCAGTAGGCACTGCAGCACTATGGATAACTCTCACCTATTTACCACTCCAGCAACTCTGTATTGCATGGAGCGCTAGGCCTTGAGGCCTTTGGAAAGGCTTTGGAAAATCTTTGAGATTTGGACGCCCTGGAGTCCTGCGCAGACACARCCTTCTGTCACAAAACCTTTACTTTTACCGTCGTATTTGCCACACTRGTTGCACACAACCACCACCCAAAGACACCCCTCAGCACTCCAGGCATGAGACGCCTACAGAGACAAGTGCTGAGGAGCGCGAGGCCTCTGTACTCCGTGGTGGCTCTGCACATGCGTCCAGCATAGAGCAGATGCACGTGCAACATTAGTAATGTAATAATACTACTACAGCAACTCTTTTCATATCTATTTTATATCTGTTACAATGCCTGGTAAAGAGTAGGACACACAAGTGAGGTAGATTACTTTACACAGGTAAATTGAGTCAAAGAACATGTAAGTCAAGAYACTGTAATGGTGAAGTTACCCAAACTTCAATTCCTGTACAAAAATAGCTCTGCCTTTTTCTTGATACCTCATGCTGGATTCATCAACACAGACTTGATTCATCCAATCAAGAAAGATAAAAACGAGTTTTTTCCTCATTTTTATATCAATACGTATGAAATGCACTTTTCTTATAGAATTCTCTAAGTGTAAATAATCCTTTTTTTATCAGGCCATCTATCCCAAATCGCATCCTCATCTTCCAAAAGCTGTAAGTAATACAGGTGTAAACTTGTTCATATCACACCTGCATTATCTAACACAATAGGTGTTCAKCAGGATTCCATACAACAGGAATTTCAGCTACAAGGAATCCCTCTCAAGTGTTCTAATATATTTTCATAAAACAGAATATGCAACTTAAAAGCATTTTTGGATGCAAAGAGATTATTCGTTAGACTTACAACGGACACAGCATTGGCCAATCCATCTTTTTGCAAAACCAGCTGCTCTGCTTGAGGTTTTTTATCCTGCTCATTTCTTTCTGTTTGCAAATCCTTCCTTCCCACAGTCCTTCTTAAGTTTCCTTGGTGTCTCTGGAATCGGCCCCTCACTAACTGGGCAGGTTGAACAGGAGTTGGTCTGCTTTCTTCTTGAGTAATATTTTTGCTGTCAAGACTAAGTCAGACATATAGAAAAACATGAAACTTGATACAAAAGATTCATATTAAAAAAAAATCACAGGCCAATAATACTTATCTAAGACACATCTCTATTTTTGAAAGAAACAGGTAAAAATAYAGTTCTTCCAAGTTTAAACTATACAAAGAAATCTTTGTTTCATCAAGGTAAGTACAACACCCATCTAAATGGTCTAACAAAAGAATCAACTAACTCACTGCAGGCATTATCTTAGTGTCCACTTATTACCGTAAACCAAAAGTAACTTCCATACTGTTTCTCTGAAAGCAAACTAACATTGCTCTGCTTAAACTGAACATGTCTAGTGTTTCATATGATGAGGCCAATTCTGACAAAATACCAGCTGTAAAACTGAATACTCATTACTTTGATGCATAGCAATAACTGGAATTTTAGTAAAACTGATGCTGAAACTATGAGAACTGACATCTCATTGGGTATTTTTATTTCATTTTCTCTGACAGTTTGAAATCCACTGGCACAATGATTGCCTTTTAACATGTCTTCATTGTTACAGGCAAGAAACAGAAGTGGGTCTACCTTGTGTCAGTAGCTGATGTTTCTTTTTCATTATCTAGAGGTGGACAAGACTCGAGTTCACCATCTTCTGATCTTAGAAGCATCTCTGAAGGCTGATAGCGTGGCCTTTCAGAAGCTTCCTGGGAGACGAGAGGATTTTCCTTTCCCAAGGATTCTAATGACTGCAGGGCCTCATTTTTTTCTGTTTTCTAAAAGAAAATAAAAACATATGAAAAAAGTCATGATGCCAATTCAAACCATAAAGGACATATGATGTTCATGAAAGTCTGTATTAATCATATTAATACATTTCTGCAAAAGAATAATTGCTTAATAATAACTTCCCAGGCTTTCCAAGAAAAACATACACTTGTTTCTTTTAAACTAAATTGCTTGGTATCCAGATTTCTTCTTTACTGTCTTGATTAGTACTACTCTTTCTTCACTGTCATCTCTAAAAGTCCATCTCAAGTCAGAAAGATATTTGGATACATAACAAAATACACAACGGATTTAAGCTATTATTCCTCATATGCAATTAAGAAGGGGGAGTCTGTGTTTAAAAGAACAAAAAAAAAAAAAGAAAGTGTTTTGTTTGTTTGTTTTTCAGAAAGTTTAACTTGTGTTTYCAAAAGAAATCATTATCACTCCTGTCAATTCCACAAATCCAAAGGCTTAGCTAAAACCAGAGGGGGGAAAAAAAGCCTTACATCTACATCAGGAAGGGTGCTATGTTCACTGCCACATTGCATCAAACTTCCTTCCTCATGGCTATCAGTCTGGGATACACCTTTATTTGCATGAGGCACATCCTTTCTAGCAGTTGTCTTTCCCAAGTTTGGCTTTGGTCTCTGGCATCGACTCAACAGCGGAGCTGACGAAACAGTGGTTTTCTCCTCTGGCTTCTGGGCATCAGATTTCCTACAACAGAAGAAAATAAAAGCACAATCAAAGGCAGGGACAACAGGGACAATCACTTGTGTATGTGATTCTCTCCAATATAAGAATCAAATACAAAATTCTCAGCTTTCTTATAGCAGTAGCCAAGATAATGAAAAACACCACCAATCAAATACCTGTGCATCTTATAAATGGTCAAAGACAAGCACAAAATTAACAATTTCAGAACAACTTCAACTTTCAGTGACAAGAGTTTTACAAATTCACTTCTTCATATTTAATCACATCACAGAGGAGATTTACAATCCAAGTTTTTAAAATGACAGGTTAAAAGGGAACCAAAACCTTATAATCAGAGATTTACATAAACACATAGAGGTGTATTTTTAGGACTAACATGTACGTAATGTTAGCCCTACAACAATATTCCTGTATGGGTAGTGCAGGAACTGACCATCAGAAAAAAAAAATTAAAAACTGCAGTCAATTTTATATGCCAATTCAGATAAATTTAGCACTTTCCTGGGYGCTTCTTACTCTAGTAAAGTCTCAATTCAAAATAAGTTGTATACCTATGATGTGTTTATATCTATAACAGTTTTAGTTGCTGGAGTTAAATGTAAAATACCTGCTTTTTTCTTTTTTTGTTCCCCTGTTATCCCTCCATTTAAAAAATGAACTTACTCTGGCTTCAATGATGCTTCAGGTTTTAGGACTGCTGAAGATTCCTTTTCACATTCACAGCTTTCAGCTTCTGAGGACTTTTGGGGGGAACACTGGCTTGCATGTATTGTGTCCATCTTCTCTGCAGACACATCCTCTTCTGACATCATAAGGCATGGCTGAGTCTCTTCAGAATCCACCACATCCTAAAAGGAATATATATTTCACTCTAAGAAGAAAAAATTATGCTCAACTTCTCTCTTAAAAGAGCAGAAGGAAAAAAAATGGAGGGTAGAGTACTTCTCCAAAAATGTTCAGAAACATCTTACTTCCTATATTAACTAACATTACTAGATTGTTTCAAAATAAAAATTCAAATTTGTTATTTTTACATATACTATTTGAAATGGCTTCTTTTCCAAGAATGTCTTTTCTGTTCTGCACTTCTTTCTCCATATCTGCTATCACCCCTAATACAAGAGAGAAGTGGGATGCAATCTCTCTCCATGAAGAACAGATTCTAAAYGCAAGCATTGGGAAATGCTATGACATTTCAGATAATTCTGGAAGAACAATGTGGTATGTGCTAGGTCTTTGTTACTAAGGCATCCGCTTGGGAACAGGAGTAAAAAAAGCGTGCCTAAACGCACACTTCCAACGGCAAACACCTCCGACTGCTCAGGAGCAGAAAACTCACGTCTTTGAGGCATGAATCACTTTTTTCACTCCTAGAGTGATTCACACCCTTTTCCATCTCTCCACATTCTGTTTTCTCCTCTTCAGGATCTTTTTTCTGTGTTTGGACTTCATGCCTTGCAGCACTTCTTCCTATATTAGGTTTTGGTCTTGGCATTCGACCTCTCTTTAGTAGTGCTGGTTTCAGCACAGTTTGTTTGCTGCCTTCTTGTAAACCAGGAGTTTTGTTGCACCTGGGAAAAACAAAACAAGAAAAATCTGATTCCCAAGTACGTAAGATCTGAAAATTGGAGGGGGTTGCACAGAAGCAATATTCTCCTTACTCTTTTCCTCCCCCAACTCTTTTAACATACCCTTACTTAGAAACGAGCTATTTACTGCTAACTTAGAAGTCAAAAGTCTATCTGTCGGAAGCTGAAAGAGTATTTGATACTAACATTTGTTTGCCGTGTTTTTCTTTCCTAGAAGAGAGGATACCGATTTATATAGACCTTTTCTAATCCCATCGCAGGTTCTTCTCATTTTTCTATCTGCCTCTACACAGACCTTTGATAATAGCTCTTCTCATTTTTCTATCTGCCTTAGAGGCACATGAACTTCAATTTATAAAGGGTTAAGTTACAAACAGAGACTATACAGTTAAATTCATCCATAATCTTACTAAGATGAAATGTCAGCAGCACACTATTAAAACCAGCAGTTGCTACGCTTATTCACCCTGATCACCAAGTTATATAGTACAGCTCAAGAAAGTAACAGCTCAAGAAAGTAACAGCTAAAACAGCTAAAATATTTTCCTCCAAATCAAACCCCAGCTTGCCTCCCTCCATCCTCTTCAACTATACATCTTTAAAAATAAAAATAATGCATCTTACAACCTTTCCTGTGAAATACACTCCTCAGAGCTTTTCCACTACAACTACCATTTCTCCACTGAAGAGAAAAACAGGAGACATTTCTTAATTAACATATGCACTGAACTGCCCACACATTTTTTTTCTCCCTTATCTCAGGCATCTGACAATCATGCTTTAAGAACAAACATTTATTCCTACTATTTAAATAAGTAAAATTTTCCACTACTGAAATTATGTATTCCACTATTAAAGCTAATTGAGAAAGCTTGTTTTAGTTTTAAAGGGACTAGCATTCTTCTTTTTTGCATTTATCACATTTGAAATCTCACTTAATTCATGCACAAAAATAAAAGTTACTTCTCAAGGAAGCTCTGTAACTCTTATTCTGTATAATATATATAAGACTACCCAAAGTGAAAGGAGTGAAAGGGATAGCAAACACCTAGAGAGCAGTTCAGTTTCTCATTTTCCACATACTTACTTAGACACAGTCTCCAAGGGTTTATCATGTTTTCCTGCAGATTCTCCACTGGTGGTATCACACACATTAGTTTCCTCAGTAATCTGAATATAAATCGAATGTTAAAACATTAATTCTTCTAAATATATCAAGTGCAGGATTACCTAAGAGGCTAGATCACTGTCCAAAATAGGATATGCAATAGGATGACACTATGACAGACAAAGAAGATTCATAAGGTAAATTTCCTATCAGCCAGAGAAGGTGCAATAAAATCTAGATCAAACACACAGGCTTGTATTTGCTGCAGAACTTGAGCTATTATTGGCATCTACTATATGTGTGAAAAACTTCCAGCTTAGCTGAATTCTCTGAGCAATATCCCAGTGTCACGGAAGATTAAGTGGGTGATTTCTGACCACAATCAGGGACAAAAAAAATGAACAAAAAAAATAAACAGTGTTGCGACTAAGCCCATCAGCAGGGTGGTTTAAGCTAAACATATTTTCAGTTATATTATTCAATTAAATACCTTTTTAGTTTCTCCCTGAGGCTCTGGATGGGACATTTTATCTTTTTCTGATTCTTTTCCAGACACATCTTTCTTTCCAGATGCTCTTGTAATGTTTGGCTTAAAACGCTGTCGAGACCCTCTAACTACTGTCTTTGCAATCACAGTTTTTTCAGGTTCTCTGCACAAGAGATTAGGAAAGGATTCACAATATGGTTATTTATTCCCTAATATCAAGGCTACACAGCATTCACTGACTTGCAGAGCTTTCTTTACTGGAAATTCATCTTATATTGAGTTGACTTTGGAAAGATTTTGACCCACTCATGCAAGTTTCTTACTACAAGTATAGAATCTGCTTTGATGTTACACTGTGAAAACTCCATTTATCTTCCTAATACCAGGATACAATTTTTTTTTTTTTGTCATCTTCTTCTCTAAATGATCTTAAAATATCACAAATGAGAAACCTAAGCAGACTACATGCCATAACTGCTTCTGCAAGCATGGAAAACTGAGCCATCAGATGGGAAACAGAGTAGGAAAGTCATAGATGTACATTCCTTGTAAAGCCTAGTTTAGTTTGTCCCCATATTAATGTTCAGTTATTCCTCTTTTTCCCCAAATTCCAAACAAATATGACTCCTTATAAAGCAATGTTTTCTTCAATTTTCCAAGGAAGAAGCATCTCTACAATAGTGTCATTTGATATCATTTGAGAAAACGCTGAGGCCAAACGAAGAAGTGCACAAATCTTCCCAACTAGTGTTGCATGAAGACCTTTGTATTACAGTACTGCACAGAATAAACAATTCCAGTCAAAGTTGAAAGCTAAAACCAGGAGACTGGAAAAGCTATCTCCATACTTACTCAGATTTTGTTCCCAAACCTACGTTCTCCACTTCTGTGATTTCGCTTCTATTACTTCCACTGTCTTCCAAAGTGCCCTGAAATTAACACAAGAAATATTCTTGGACAGATGCACAGATGCCTCAAAGACAGTCCTCAGAACCCCTGTGAGAGTGCAGTTGTTTCAGAGGATCAGCACTGATCAAAACAGATACAATATTAACAGTACAGCACATTAAAGAACATTTCTTCTTCTGACCTTTTCAACTTCATTCGCAAGCTTTGGAGAAGAATTCTCAGTCTCTAGTTTTTCTTGGGTTATTGCTTCTCTCCTTCCAGATGATTGTGCCTCACCTGGGTTAGGTCTTTGAAGATGCCCTTTGAGTGCTKGCTTTTCAGTTTCCCTTAAGAGATAAAAGAGGGAAATATTTTTTTCTCTGGTAATAATATACATGTTTTATATTGTCCAAGATGTACTTAAATCCATCCAGTGTTGCTGTACTTAAAGTCCAACAACCTGGACTGAATATCTAATAAAATTACAGTTTTGGTCAGTTTATTTCTTAAAGAACTAGGATCTATTTCCTAGTACAGGACAAATAAAACTGTGATAATCTATCACGGAAGTGACTATCATTCAATAAGGGAAGGAGAAGGATGAAAGTTTCACATTTAGAAGTGCTGCTAACTGAATGTAAACCAACAAACTCTCTCTAAATCACCTTTAAAGAATTATGACTTTTAAGTCTCTGATCATACAAGTAGGATTGAACAATACTACATCACTGTAAGAAATAGTAGCAAAGATTAACTTTGCTACTAACAGAGATGGAGTACCTTCCAGAGAGGTATGTCTAAACCTAGATTCTAGAATTAAATTCCAAAGAACCAAAATGTCTATATATATGAATACATTAAACATGTGGAGCATACAGGTAACAAGCTCTGATCAACATCTGCTAGTTCCAAAGAAATCAAAAGGGTCCAATTTTGAGCCAATTTCCATAAATGATATTCCCAAACAAAATGGCACAATCTCTCCTGCTGACACTGATCGCAGAAGGACTAGGTTTTCTAAGCTTAGTTAATTCTTCCTCCTCATTTCCGAGTAATATTCTAAGCTTTGATCAAAGCATCATTCCTCAGAAATCAAAATTTCTACCAAAAGTTCTTCTTGAATAAGGAAAAGTCATCATGCTCTACCATCTAATCCTAGTATGACGAAACAGAGTTTGTATCCAAAATAAGTAAATGCACATTTGGCTCAAGTACTAATGCAAGGTAAAACAATTCTACTCACGTTATTTCATGCTGAAAATCACCAGCTGATGCACTCTCCTTTTCATCTGGTTTACATGAGTCATATACATCTTTGTTCTGAGGAAAAAAACAAATGCTTATTACTTCAGCTCTGCAAGACAGTAATTGTGTTCCACAAGTTTTAATTTAAAACAATCATAGCAGGCCAAAAGAATTGCAATCAAATAGTTACCTTTGAAATTATCATCAAGTTTGGAAAGTTTTAGGACCTACTTATTTCAAACAGCCATAATGAAGTAGTTTGAAAGCTCTGCTACTTCACTAGGCTCTGCTGATCTATATGGTAGATTGTCCTGTTCAGCTGGTGTACAGTCCTATTCCTGTACACCAACTAATGTAAGAAGAATGTATTCTTCTAATACTTCCCACTACAAGCACTTAGTATTTGTGAAGATGTTAAGTAGTTCATGTCTTTTTTCTAATTAAGTTAAATTTTCTATTTTAAGAAATAGAATCTAAATGGACATGAAGCTTTACCCATAAGATCATTACACAAAAAGGTAATGCTACATAAAACAGCCGTAAAAACAAGAATAGCCTGCAGAAGATGAATGGGAACACAATAATGGGAGTATATCATATTAAACTATTAGGCAGCAGGCTTAAAATAAGCTGAAGAATACACTTTTTCATGCAGTGCATACAGTAAGAAACTCAGCTGTAGTATGCAGTTGCTGATAGAAGTACAAATAGGAATTGAGGGATAAAAAGTCCAACAACAGCTATGAAAGAAGCTAGATGCAATCTCAGTAAGTTCTAGAGACACTAGCACTGGTCAGAGTGTACCTGAAGAAAAGCAATTCAATCTTGCTCCACTTTACTGTATTTTTCCTGAAACACCTCATACCAGCCAGGGACAGGGGGATACAGAGGCCCACGTTTCGAGGCAAGACTCCTCTACTCTTCCCACTCAAATCATCACACTAGTATGGGCCAGACAACAGAAACTTGCTCCAAGGCAGTACGAACTTCACTGTTATTACAGTTGCATTTTTTTGATGCTATAGTGCTTCATTTTTGAGTAAAGTGCCTAAGAGATAAGTCAACCCTGAGCATTACACTCAGTGAATAAGCTTAGTGTAACAAAAGCAAATCAAACAAACAAAAAGCATTAAAACCAACCAAGTTGATAACATTTAAATTCTGTTGATGGTCTCAGGTTTTTTTGCCTTTTGTGCAGCAAGTGGTAAAAACATTACAAAAATATATATGTCAAGAAGTTGCTTTAATTTACATAAACACTGTTAAGAGTGGATAGGAGGATCTTAACAGAATGGCTTTAAAAAATAAGAATACCTTGGCTTCCTCAGTTTCTTCAGATTGTCTTTCCTTGTTTTTAATGTTTGAGTGTGGGAACTCTGAATGCTGGCTTTCCTTTCCTCTGCTATCTAGCATTCTCAGTTCAGCAGATTCTGTTCCTAGTACATTATCACTGCCATCAAGAAAGCTGGAATCAATAAAAGCGTGTGAAAATGTTAATAAAAAAGTAATATTGTTTACAGATTAAGGTGAACAGTAAAATTTATATTTACAGCAGTTTGCAAATTCTATATATTAGATGGTTGTCAGGTTTTCTAAAACAGCCGTAACTTCTAGTGATATCCCCATGACATGCGCTTTAAAATCACTCCTATGCTTTTGCAATATCATTACAAGAAAGATTAAAAATACTATCTGAATATTCTAGGCTAGATAAAGGCTTATAAACAGACGTTACCATCCACAAAAATTTCCCTGATCTTCCACAACAATCTACATTGAGTTCAAAGACAAGATTTACTGTTCTTCTATATACTTCCTGTGAGGGATGAAACATAAATGTTTCGAGAAAACTGTATGAAAACAGCAAACAATTACAACATAAGCATAAAGAGCACTTCATACGCAAAACTCTGAAGCACTATTGACAGCTTCACAGTACGTTTTTAATTTACCACTTTCATATATCAAAAAAGTTTCTAAAATACAAATATCCACATTCTTTCTAGTAAAAGAATGCCCCAAATCAAAACTAAAATCTTGCGCCTCAACCCAAGATGCAAGCTCAGCACAAGTAAAATCTGAGCTATTTTCCTTTTTCACAAGGGAACCCTTATTAATAAACTCCAAGCAACACTACCAAGCACTCTTTTGAGAGAAACAGTAGTAGTAAAGAGCTTTAAGCCAAGGTTTAGGACAAGTCAATCTTCAAGCAACCTCCTCCTCCCCACCTCCACAAGAAGAAAGTAATTTTGATGGGATTTTAATATTGATGCAAACTGAGTTACAAGGAGAGCATCAGGGAATACATTTGAGGGTATAAATTGAAAGGAAATGACTAAAACATTACAGGACACTGCACAGTCACTGATCAGAGAAACTGACCAGAAACTGACCAGAGAAACTGAGAAACTGATCAGAGAAAAGACCCTTCCCCTTTATATCAATTAACATGATGATAAGAATCAACAAATTCAATAAATTGTAAACAATAAAAAAGATTTTTTATTTTGTTTCGGCGTTCTATTGCCAAAAAAATACCTGTATAAATTAAGATCACTTTCAGTTATGTCATCCACTGGTAAACAGGATTCTGATCTCTCCTCCTCTACGACAAGAGTCTCATGTTGCTTTTCTTCAGTAACACCATCCAGTTCTTCTCCCAAGGTAGTAGGCCCATGACCATTTGTATCGCATACTGACCCTTCTCCTGCTCATAAATAGAAACAAAATCAATTTGGGCATTCTGGGTAACAGCACAAAATTCCAATTCTCACATACCAGCTACAATGAAGCAAGATGTAATAAAGAACAAAGAAAACCCTGGTAGAAACTATATAATTAATATTTATAGAATTGTTCTCAGCTAAAATAAAATATAACATTTAGATTCAGTATGAAAGCTGACTTCTTGAAAGGCACAGTTCTGTACCTTCCAAGGCAGATCAGTAACAAAACAAACCCCCAACTCTCATTTTTAAGAACAAGTGTCTTCACAAAGACTTCGTATTTGAACGTTTACAAGTGAGCAGTGAACATTTTTGTCTCTTACTTTTCTTCGAGGATTTGCTTTCAACAGCAATTTTTGCTGATGACTCTTCTGGAAGATTGTCCACTTCCTGTTCAGGATCATCTTTTCTCTTCCTTTTTCGTTTCTTTTTTGCTGATGCTGATTCTAATGTAGCCTGTTCTTCTGTCCGTTCAGAAACGCCCAAAGATTCTTCATTCTCCTTCTCAGCCATCACAGAATCTGCTTCTGTTTCTGCATCAGAAATTCTGGCTTTCTGAGAATTATCTTGATCACTAGCAGCTTCTGAATTGGCAGCTTTCTCTATTGAGAGAATATAGTTCCTGATTAATGGGCTGATAAAGTAACTAGGAGCTATAAATCTCGAAGATATTTCCAAAAGCAACATCTTGTGAATGCATAAATCAGTGTGGATACCCTTTTAGGCATATAAGCAAGTCAATGAGAAGTCAGTCACTAAGGAAAAAGAAAAGCTTTAGCATAGATTTACTGCAACAGACTTTAGGAGTCAAAATGCAGCTAAGCAGGAAACAGCATCATAAAACAAACTTAAAATTTAAATGAGAATTTAAACAGTGTGCCAAATATAAAGTTTTAGCCCAAAGAGGCTAAAAAGTGAGTTCAGCAGAAACTCAAAGATACTTATTAACTTTTAAATTAAAATAACCCTTTTAGTAGTCCACTGCTTCATACAGTGAAAGAGCAGTAATCCTAACATGGCCTATAGAAAATGTCCCTGGACTGCTAACCATCCCACACACAAGTGAACACACACAATTACCATCCCACACACAAGTGAATTACATCTGAAAGAATTAGGCTACAAAGGCAGAATTCTCTTGCCTTGTTCAGAACAGGAGAGGAAGAGATCCCCTACCTAATTTGTACTTTGTTAGTGACAGAACTGAAACAACAATCGCATCACTGCTCTGTGATGGTATCTCAAGCATTCTTTATAAGTACCTTTTGGTTTCTTTGTAGTCCTTGATGGCCTCTTTTCTTTTGGCTTCTGGTTTTTGGCTGTCTTTTGCTTTCTCTTTTCCTCATCAGCCAAGACCTTCTCAAGCAGCTGAGCAAAGAACTCAAAATCAAAGGGCCGCTTCTCTTCTGTCCAGTTAAAACAAAGAAATACAAGAGACTTTGTAGCTGATAATCTTTCCTAATTTCTGCTTTTGTAAAATAATCACTGTTACATGTCACATATTTAAACAGATTTTTTTCTGAATACCACTAGGCAGAAATTAGATAGATGTGCCATATAAAAATGTCACGTGGTAGGTTGTTTTTAAACGTGTGGTAGCTTGTTAAAAAAAATAGCCTGCAGAAAATGTACAATATTTAGCAGTTTAGAAAGCCTGGGAAGTGATAAATATATAAACTGTATCTCAGTAACAAAGAATGAATTAATGAGCAAACAATGAATTAATGTGCTAACATAAGACTTACATGACCCTTTGAAAAAATGTCTAGAGCACTTACAGATCCTCAAAGCTGTTTACACTTAGTAAGCGTGCTCTAAATTCCAGTGAAGCAGAATAATCTTCAGTTACAAGTTTATATTAGTCTCATGTACCAGATGAATACAAAGCCAAAAATTAAACCTAAAGATCTTACTGTGAATCATACTTACTATAAAAAACCTTGAGTTCCTAATTTCTAAATTCATTTAAGACCAAAAATGTTCATAACTCAAGCAAGGCAAAGCACAAAAATGACAACGATGAAAGACACCTCCATTTAACAGAGTCGTTGAGTGGTGGGGTGGGGCTTTACTTACTAAAAGCTTTGTCTATCCTCCATCCATTTGTTTTCTCCTCACGCTTGAACTTATTCTAAAAATAAAAGTTACGTTTATCTTTAAATAAGCAAGAAATGCAACAATATAGTTGTTTGCAAAACACAAAACAAGACAAAGTTTTTAAACTATAACAATATATTTTTCTAGGAAATGAAGTTGTTAAATATTACAAGCACACTCATAGAATACAAGTTTTTATCATTAATTTTTTACACAATTAACATTTGTTTTCTGTCATCAGTAGGTATCACAGGCTTATTTTAAGTTTCATTCAACATCATCTTCCATCTATCCTTATTACATCCAGTGCAGGCAAAGGTTGAATTATAGAAGTTGTTACTAACAAGATTATCAAGAGAGAGGTAACACAAAAGAACCTTAAACGTTAGAATCATAGAATGACAAAGGTTGGAAGGGACCTCAGAGGTCATCGAGTCCAACCCCCCTGCTCACGCAGGGTCACCTAGAGCACGTGGCACAGGGCTGCATCCAAGCGGGTTTTAAAGATCTCCAAAGAAGGAGACTCCACAACCTCTCTGGGCAGCCTGTTCCAGTGCTCTGTCACCCTCACAGTGAAGAAATGCTTCCTTAAGTTCCTGTGGAACTTCCGATGCTTCAGTTTGAAGCCATTTCCTCTAGTCCTATCCCTGCCCACCACTGAAAAGAGGCCGCCCCCTCCTCCTCACTGCCTCCCTTGAGGTATTTATACACGCTGATCAGGTCCCCCCTCAGCCTCCTCTTCTCCAGGCTGAACAGACCCAGCTCTCTCAGCCTTTGTTCATATGGTAGATGTTCCAGGCCTCTGATCATCCTGGTAGCCCTGCGCTGGACTCTCTCCAGCAGCTCCACATCCCTCTTGTACTGGGGAGCCCAGAACTGGACGCAGTACTCCAGATGTGGCCTCACCAGGGCTGAGTAGAGGGGGATGATCACTTCCCTCGACCTGCTGGAGACGCTCTTCTTAATGCACCCCAGGATCCCGTTGGCCTTCTTGGCCACCAGGGCACACTGCTGCCTCATGGTCAACTTGTYGTCCACCATGACACCCAGGTCCCTCTCTGCGGGACTGCTCTCCGGCAGGTCCACCCCTAATCTGTACAGGTGTCCAGGGTTATTCCTCCCCAAGTGCAGGACCTTGCACTTGCCCCTGTTGAACCTCATGAGGTTTCTCGCCGCCCAGTTGTCCAGTCTGTCCAGGTCCCTCTGGATGGCAGCACAGCCCTCAGGGGTTATCCACTATCAGCATTTTTCAATTAAAATAAAATCAATACTAGCTATATCTGCTTATTAAATTCAGTGATCAGAATGCAACCCAGCATATTCGTATTTTAAATAGTTATTAAAAGCACTACTTTACAGTCAATTAGCATCCGAATTATCAACTACTAGGATGAACAAGAATAGCAAACTTAAATAGAAGAGTGAAAATGGGGGGTTATTTATCTGAATGCTTTAATTTTTACCTTAATTTCTGCTCTAGCTCTATGAGGAAACAGCTGCCCAATCAAAGAGAAGTCTGTTCCTACCATACTGATAGCTAAAAAGAACATGTCCGTCTCTGAGAGGGGAAAAAAAAAAAGACAAAATTTAGAAGTACTTTAGAAGTTATTATCCTAAGTACCTAAAATACATTTTAGTACATAATACCTGAAGTACATTTACATGTTAGCACAACTAAGCAGACAACTCATAGAAGAGACCATTTTTTCATTCTGCAGATTTGCAGATTCAGAGAAACTATGATTACAAATGACCATCAGGTTATCTAACAGGGCTGCAAATTGAATTGGAATATCCCAGTGAAATGTAAAGTTACACGGTTAAAAGCTGAGTACCGTTTTTTTCCCCATTATCACACAATAAATCTTCCCAACATTAATGAGAAACATAACAAAAAGCATTATCAAACTGCTCAATATAATTATATACCCTCCAATTTTCATACATCAATTGACAGATAGAAAACACGCCCATTAAGATATTATTTAGATAAGCAACCGGGATTTCCCATCACCTAGTGGGAATCAGGCTTACTAACACTACCCATTTCAGCAAAAGCATGTTCGAATACAGCATCTTTTCATACACACACAAACAGCCTTGCCCGTTCCCCATTCAGGAAGATAAATGCTGAAATAATATCAACATTTTCTTATAAAGTTGAGATTTCAGCATAATACACTCAAAAATACACTGACCTTTATTTGACCATGGTTTTGTGTAAAAGCTTTTTCTGAAGCTGGAATATGTAGTTGTAGAGCCACGCTCAAAGATGGGATCATTTTCTTCTACAACACATGGACCTTTTGTCCTTAGAACTTCTACGGTTAAACTGAAATAGCAAACAAAAAGACATTTAAATATTACTGAAAATATTACTAACAGCACACACTGTTGATGTTTATCAATGAACTATGCAGCTTCTTTGAAAGTCAATGATTTGATACCTGGTATTTTTGAATGGTCATAGCACTAAGCAAAGTTACTGAAAACACTGACAGTGGAGCAGAGCAGCAAGATTCAAGATGCAAAGCTGGAGCAAATGACAAGCTGACAACTCAAGAGCAACGAGCAAGCTCATGTAAGTATGACAAACAAGGGAGGGAACTAAATAAAAGGCATCTGAAAGTTTAATAAATATTCACTACTCATTCATTGGTTTAAAACATTCCATCATCTTCTCTCTATCCTTCTCCAAAAATACACTTCTTATAGTAAATATGAGATTTATTTACATCACCACAGTGGTAATATAGGTAATTGCTGCTCATATTTTATCATATATTTGCACTGCTTTCTAAATTAGGATGGCTTGACTGTCAATAAATCAACACATTCCTATTTGTCCTTGTCCAAGATAACTATTCTTTATTCACAAACCAAGCCGTAGTCCAGGATGTATTGTCCACTAGTTGGATTGCAGAATCCCGTACCTTTCTTCATCCAGAATAATTGAGCCATCCTCTGCTACTTTCACTCGAGGAACTAGAAGTGGGCCATCCTGACTCTCCTCTCCATTCTCTGCTTCCTCCTCCTCATCTTCCTCTTCAGGCTCAGGAGAATTTTTCTCTTCTTGCCTACAATTCAGAGATCAACCAAAAACATTACTTTTGTTAGTGTTTTGAATTACTGCTCAGTGCACCAGATATACAACAGTTTAATGAACTATTCAGCAACATAGCCCACTACTGTAATCAACAAGGACTTTGAACTCTGCTTTTTACTTCATTGTATAACAACCTAGAAACATGATATTGAAACAAAATGCTTTTTAAATATTTTCCCCTCCCAAATTACATTTTGCTTTAGATAATGGTTACAATACAGAAACAGTAAGCAAAGTAAAAACTTAAAATGAATATTACAAAATACACTACAGCATGTTTTTTCCAACAAAAACAAAAATTTTTGACTCTAAATATCCCAATCAACAAGACTTACTCTTTCATTTGACCCAGTGCACTATTTTTTTCTGTTCTCTTTTCCTCTGCCAGTGAAGATCTAAAATCACAGAATCACAAAATTTTGTAAATTTGTATTTTTGTAAAATTTTATAAAACACTTGAGATAAAAGTTCATACAGACACATTTCTGCTTCCATCTAATAAAACACAAACTCCCAAGCCTGCTTTTAGTGGATAATGAAAAAAGAAACACACAGCTTTCATATTTTTTAGGTTCTCTGTACCATGGACTTGATCTAATTGAACAAATGGGATTACTTAATGAACTTTGCTGGATTTTTGTATAATCCTTAATTGTTCAAGGCACATTAAAAAGACAAAGCAAGAGATTTCAAGTATTGATCCATAAGACTATGATGATGATGATCAGGTGATTCACTGCTGACTTACGTCCACAATGCTTTCCCCTGAGAGTTCAATCTACCTTATCACAAGCAGATGAGGAGGAACAGCAGCCATCAGCTCACTGAGAAACAAGTACCTTCTACCTTGCATGGTAAGTTGCTAGTTGAGGGTACAACAGTCCTACTACTCACAAGCATCTCTATTTTGCACTGATTAACAAGTTCTGTGAGCATAAAAATCATTGGCACTTCTTTATTTGCCCTTGTCCATCCAGTAAGCACCATATATTTGAGAATAGCTAAATAAAGTTTTTCATAGCTGCTTATCAGGTTCTCATTCCTAAGACTTTGCACCATCTCCTGCATCATCCATACCATCCCAATGGACCTACAGAGTCAGCATGTTCACAGTGTTTGCTGCCATGAGAATCACACTTGAATAGCACTATCATGGTTGATAACAGCCAGGTTTAAAAGCATATGGATATACCTATCCTAAGAGAACGTGGAATGTGAGAGCATATGATTCAGTAAGTAACTTAGTTAAGGACTATTCAGTGTAGAAGAAATAACAAATAACAAAGTCATAAATAAAATAGACACACAAACATTGAGAAGCAGCTAATGACAGTGACAAAAACAAACACCAGACCTCTTCAACCACTCATTGACCAACTTCTAGAGGAACTATTTGGTCATAAAGGAGATCAATCTAAACTGTGTAACTGATAAAAATAGAGACACATGGTTATCACAAAGTGTTATGGAATACTTGAGGGTCTTGCAGGATTGTGAGAAATTTACTGTGTATGAGAACAGGCTTGTAGGACTACACTAAACTTACCAGAGGACATTTATGGGCAATATCAGTATGGATGGAGAAGAATATACACAGGAAAAGGGAGAGGAAGGGGATAACTCAGGCAGTCACCCCAAAGCAGGCTGTCAGTCAGTATGCCACCTGAATATGCCCTCCTGACTGACCATTGCAGTCTATCCTATTTTCCTATGCTTTTGTGTATTTGCTACTCTGTGTGAGGGCAGCAAAGCCAATATGTCGGCAACTGGAAAAGATGCTGCCGGTCACTGGGCCTGTAGGTCTAGTTGCCAGCAACCACAGAGACCACAGACCACATGTCCAAGAATTGGCTACTGTAGGGTCTGTGATTTACAGAGTTGTAAGGTCCAAGTGTCAGCAACTAGAGAAGGGGCTGCAGGTCATAGGGCCTGCAGTCTAGGGGCTAGCAACTGCAGAGGCCAGGGTGTGTGTAAATCCAAGTGCCAACAACTGCAAAAACTTGCCTACGTTAACATTTTTTCCAGCAAAACTAATCCTGTGTGCATGTATATATGTGCACTTTGCTAGCAAATATTAGGCTAAAAAGACAAAAGATCTGAATCAGTTGCTTTGTAAGAGCCCCAGATCTGGACACAAATATTAGGGATACTGAAAGACCACACTATAGGGGGATCCATGACTCTGGCAGTGATCGCAAGACAAGTGGGAGACTAGATCCATTTGGTTTGCTAGCACACACCGAACCAAACTAGTCAACAAGAGGAAACCACAAATTAGGCCAGGGAACTCACGGTCCAGGCATGGCATGAGGCTTGGAAGTCATGCTGAATTTAAGGGACCTGTCATTGCAAGTATGCTTACAAACCTACAGTGAGGGGTGCTTGTGCTTTCACTCCTGAACTTCAATCCTGAGCAGATAGAGGATGGAAAGGACATGGTTGCTGTGTTTATGTTCACATGATCATCGGTGGTGGTTGCAACTAAAGGCACTGCTCTGTCTGTGATTGTCCACAAAATCAACTGTGTGAGTGTCCTCTGTGCTCTACCTGGGATACACTCTCAACCTTGTCACTGGCCAAGCCTGCTCACAGGACCAGCAGCAGCTGCATCCATCCAGCTGGGAGGGAGAGACTTCCCAGGTCCTGGAGCATCCCCAGCTGCACTTCAGCAGCTTGTGAGAAGGAGAAACGCTCAAGTCTTAGAATCAACTAGATTTAGTGACCTATAACATCCCTAGTATCCCTAACTGAAGAAGTTGCAACTGTACATAAAAATAACACACAAACACAGACTGAATGTTAGTCTGCATTTGACATGGTTCAGAGATAAATCATCAGTGGGGACAGGTTTGGGTTTTTTTTTATATTTCATCAGGGAAGCATTTATAGATTTTCATAAGCTCCATTTTCACTTCTATACAAAAGCCGAGTAAATGTGAAAGTGTTTATAAGTTTATATTGCTAATGTAGATATTAAATTGGCAGATAAAAAAATTATTTGATCTAAGTGGTGGGAATAATACTTACTTCATAGGATTGTTTTCTGGCAGATAGTATATCAAATCTCTCATTGTCATTTTGGAACGATCTGGTGGAGAACGTCCTTCAATTACTGGAGGCCTGTGTTTTAACTGTTTCTGTGTAAAAATAAAACAAATGAGCTCACTTTCAAAATACTTCTTACTTTATAAATAAATAGTTTCTATTTAGGAGGCAGGGTATTTTTCCCCTCTCAATCATTTTATCTTACAAGTGTCCATTTGTAAGGCAGGACATTAACAACTGCTAAGTAATTTAAACTCTTACAGCAATTCAATACTCTAGGCAATCAGAAGTGAGACATCCCAGAACTTAGACACTGATTAAGTCAAAAAGCCATTAGGAATCTCAAACCTCAGGCTTCTTAACAGCACACTTTCCTCTTGTATTTGCCAACTGCAAAGTTATTTAAATTGGAATGCTGACCATTATTTATTAGCAGGTCTCAGATCAAAAAAACTTGTGGAGTTCAGAGTCTTTCATAAAATAATCTGTACTATGGCAGAACACCTGCTGCTATTGCTTATGAATTATATAAGCCTCTGCAAGGAGTTATAAAATATCACAGACTATTAACAGTAAGCAGTTGATAACTGTCAGAAAACTACTGCAAAGGAGAAGTGATATATTGGGCACATGACACTTCTCTGCCCTCCATGCATGAGCACTGTGCACCATAGAGGCCTACCAGACGCTCCTTCTTCAGCTCTTCCTTAAGCATTTCTCTTAACTTCCGAGCTTTGAGAATCCTTTCCTGGTCAGAACATATTCGTTTCCCTTTTACAGGGGTGGGTTTTGTAGGTAGCTTTTCCTCTTGTGTCACTGATCTTTCCTGTGTTGGTCTTTCCTTGAGCGGAGAGGGTACATTCTTCTGCAGGGTATCATCATTTTTTTGAGCTGCTACACCCACATTTGGTTCTTTGCTGGCTGTTTTTTTTAATGGAGAGAACTGTGGCACTTGTGGCACAGGCGTTTTCTTTTCGGGCAAGATGGGAGACTTTGGAGAACTTTCCACATTAGTCTTTTCCAATGGGGAGGAATCCTTCTGAAGTGAAGCACTTCCATCAGGAGCCTGAGAAACTGCTCGCCTCTGTGGCTTTGAAGAGGAACGCTGTGCAGATGAAGGTCCAGCTCGGGGTTTTGCAAGATTGGGCAGGGTAGAAATCCGTTTTCTTCTCTGTGTTGGCATCTCTGCAGCTTTACTGGCTTCTCCAGCATCATTTGAGCTATCAGTCTTTTCATCTCTGGAAAATTCAAAAGAGTATTCTGAAATACTCTACAGTGGTAGTTTTACAGCTTTGGGAATCAGTACGTATATTTATGGAACAAATAATATAAATGCAATGCTACAGAAAAATGCAACTACATACAGGAAGGCACACTAAAACCAAGCTGCAGTTGGTACTTTCTCCTGAAGCCATCATAAGAACTGGCATGTTATTTTATAATATTAATTGCTAACATTGTAGCATTTGATAAGAATGTTCTTTCTTTGCCTCTGCCCAATTCTTTTTAGAAGATTCTCTAGTTTTAATCAAAGAATATCAAACACCACAGTACAATAAAGATAAAGCCTTGTAAAAATAAGCCACATTATCTCAATTACATATGAAAAACATTCAATAGGCCTATATGCAATAAGCAATTCCATGATATTGAAACAATCAACCTGAACATTATTTACGCTTACGTATTTGCACGTAGATCATGTTTGAGATGCGATTGCTAAAAAAAAGACACTACTGCTCCATTTCCAATGCTAATAATAACAAAAAGTAGTCTTCTTGAAGCAACAACTTTAAGCTTCCATAGAAAGCTTTCTTCTCTCTGCATAAGGAATATGTAAGGTTCAAAGTGCTAACAAAATTCCAAAATGCCAACTAGTATCCCCTTCTCAAGTCTGCAAGCAACTCTAGATCCTTGACTGCTCTCACAGTAAAAACTGCATCTCAATTAAACTGAGTCATAAAGGGATTCTTAATTTCATGTTTGAGCTACGCTTCCCGTGTGCCTGTACCCTGGATGACCACACCCAATAGTCCACCTCCAAGAAGAGTCAGAAGCAAATGCCTCTGAAAGGATACAAGAAAAGCATAAACACACTGCAAAAATTGTTCCAAATTTTCTACAGCTACTACCTATCTGTGGCTCAGGCACTGCCTACAGATGTCTTCATATTTACCAGTTTTTTTTTTTTTTATTGGTTCATAGATTTCAACATTGTTCATATGTGCCCTATCCTTCTGCGTGCTTTCATTAAAATATTTGCTATTTCCAGTCAATATCATTTGCTTGTTTGTATTGCAGGAGACAGTGAAATTGAACTCAAGAAACCAAACTGTGTGACTTCCCTCAAATCCACTCAGGATCCAGAGCCACCCACCCAGGGGGTGGTCTTTACAGTTCATCATCTAGGGAGACCTGAGWGAGGCTGCCCTCTCCTTCCAGCTGAGATGCAAACTGAGGACCCCACCATAACACTTCAGCTGACCAGGTCTCTCCTACAAGAGGGCTTTGTTTCCACACCCACGCTTCTGTTTCTGTGAAAAGCTCTCTCAGCCCTTTTCCCTGCCCCGCATGTGTCACGGGGCTGGCAAGCTGAAGRAGTTGGCACACCGACTTCAGCGTGAACACCTTCAGATTTACAGAGCTGTTCTGCTTTTTCTTTAAAACAGCTTTGTGGATTTACTTGCCTGGAGAGTTTCTTTGTCATTACCCAAGAGCCTCTTACTGACACGGCAGAAGCCATTTTCAAGCCATGTGAACAGACTCCTCAGAACACTCCCCATTTTAAAACAGCACTGAAATCTATTTTTGAGACATACGCTTAAGTTATGCTAAAACAACCATTATAAGGTATTTCTGTATTTGTAATTTAAACACACTGAATCAGCGGCAGTACTATATAACTGAAAAATAGCACCTACATTACCTGCATTTGAGAAGGAAAAAAACACAAGTCTAGTAATCTGACCTCTACACATACAGAGCTTTAAAATAAAGTCTGGAGGCAAAGCTTTGTTACAACACATTGCAAAAGCAGCTCTTTATWAAAAATGATAAATATTGGATAAAAGAAGGCAGTATGGCTAACCAAAAATACCATATCAGACTTGTGCAATACCTGTTTTTTTAGACCAAAGAAACATTTAAGGTTATAATATCTCACATCATGTCATGAAGACAGGTTTCAGCTAAATATGTATTTACAGGCATTCCTACAAGATGTAAATTCAACTCAGAGARAAGGTTGTTCTGAAATGCAATTACTAGACTCGGAAAGATCCTGAGGAACCGGTCCCAGGAACAATCTTAGAAAGTATATTTATTCTTTGGAATAACACACACAAATAAATAGGAAAAAAAAAAAAAAGCCTAAAGAAAAAGCAAGCAAGTTGTCACTCATAGGGAGAAGCGCAGGGCAGC